AGTATGAAGTGAGGACGAAAATGAAGAGAGAATGAACAGAGGATTCTTCTTATTCATAATGTGAGAGGTTACACATATTTATAGGACAGCTTAGAGACAAAGAATTAAATGCACTAGCTGTTACATGTGTGCATGACAAGCATTTAATGAGGTGATGTCTTCAATACTTGATTTGTATGATAAAGAGGTGCTGCATGATATCTTCACATTAATGCACCAAGATGGTTAGCTCCTGCATTTATTTCGCAGGTTCCTTGTTGTGCAGGTCATCTGATGATGATCCGCCGTCTATGTTGTCTTCAACATCTTTAACACTAATTAAGTATGTTTCGACGCATTCTAAATATGTTTGGATGCACTCTAAGTATGTTTCGATGCACTCTAACCATGTTTTGACGAACTCTAAACATGTGTCGAGTGCGTCTAAACGCACTCTAAACGTGTTAGGACGTACTCTAAATGTGTTTAAATGCACTCTACACATGTTCGGACGCACTTGAAACATGTTTAGACAAACTCTAAACATGTTTCGACGCACTCTAAATATGTTTCGACGCATTCTAAAAATGTTTCGATGCACTCTAAACATATTTTGTTGCACTCTAAACATGTTTCGACGCACTGTAAACATGTTAGGATGCACTCTAAACGTGTTTGGACGCACTCTAAACATGTTTAGACAAACTCTAAAAATGTTTCGACGCACTCTAAATATGTTTCGACGCACTCTAAAGATGTTTCGAGGCACTCTAAACACGTTTGGATGCACTCTAAACATGTTTCGACGCACTCTAAGTGTGTTCGACGCACTCTAAACGTGTTTTGACAAACTCTAAACATATTTTGTTGCACTCTAAACATGTTTCGACACACTCTAAACATGTTAGGATGCACTCTAAACGCGTTTGGACGCACTCTAGTTCGTCTAAACATGTTTCGACGCACTCTAAATAGGTTTCGACGCACTCTAAAGATGTTTCGAAGCACTCTAAACACGTTTGGATGCACTCTAAACACGTTTGGATGCACTCTAAACATGTTTCGACGCACTCTAAAAATGTTTCGACGCACTCTAAAAATGTTTCGATGCACTCTAAACATTTTTGAATGCACTCTAAGTATGTTTCGACGCTCTAAACGTGTTTTGGTGCACTCTAAACATCTTTAGACAAACTCTAAACATGTTTCGACGCACTCTAAATATATTTTGTCGCACTTTGAAAATGTTTTAATACACTCTAAACATGTTTGGATGCACACTAACTATGTTTGGATGCATTCTAAAAATGTTTCGACGCACTCTTAAAATATTTCGATGCACTCTAAACATGTTTGGATGCACTCTAAATATGCTTCGAAGTACTCTAAATATGTTTCGATGCTCTCAAAATATATTTCGACGCACTCTAAACATATTTGGATACACTCTAAACATGTTTCGACGCATTCTAAGTATGTTTCGAGGCACTCTAAACATGTTTTGACAAACTCTAAACATATTTTGTTGCACTCTAAACATGTTTTGACGCACTCTAAACATGTTAGGATGCACTCTAAACGTGTTTGGACGCACTCTAGTTCGTCTAAACATGTTTCGACGCACTCTAAATATGTTTCGATGCACTCTAAAGATGTTTCGAAGCACTCTAAACACGTTTGGATGCACTCTAAACATGTTTCGACGCATTCTAAAAATGTTTCGACGCACTCTAAAAATGTTTCGATACACTCTAAACATTTTTGGATGCATTCTAAGTATGTCTCGACGCTCTAAACGCGTTTTGGTGCACTCTAAACAAATTTAGACGAACTCTAAACATGTTTCGATGCACTCTCAATATATTTTGTCGCACTCTAAAAATGTTTTAATACACTCTAAACATGTTTGGATGCAGACTAAGTATGTTTGGATGCTATCCAAAAATGTTTCGACGCACTCAAAAAATGTTTCGATACACTCTAAACATGTTTGGACGCACTCTAAATATGTTTCGAAGCACTCTAAACATGTTTGGATGCACTCTAAACATGTTTCGACGCACTCAAAACATGTTTCGACGCACTATAAAAATATTTCGATGCACTCTAAATATGTTTCGATGCTCTTTAAGTATATTTTGATGCACTCTAAACATGTTTGGATACACTCTAAACATGTTTCAACGTACTCTAAAAATGTTTCGACGCACTCGAAAAATATTTCGATGCACTCAAAGTATGTTTCGATGCACTCCTACCGTGTTTTGACGAACTCTAAAAATGTTTCGAGTGTTGGGGTTATCTACGGGTTCCTAGCATGCGATCATATGGATCTAGGGTTTGGTTTACTAGGTTTCATGCAACGGAAGAAAGATCTAAACCTAGTCAAACGTCACACGCAATCAAACTCGCAAAACCCGTAAGATCATGTATATCACCGAGGGAATCGTTACTTACCTCGTTTTCGATGAGACTTGAAGTTTATTTCGATCCGGGGCCTGTTCTAAATCACCTAGGACTGAAGTTACAGTCCCTCTACACGTATCCACACCGACGGGAAGGATTCCAAACGATTTGGAACGAATCTGCTAGGATTAGTGAAGAAAAGGGTAACTCAAGAGATGAGATCCAATCCTGGGACAATAGAAATCGAAGAGAACAGGTTCTCTAGGGTTCTAGAATGTTTCTCTGAATTTTTAGGTCGGCCTTAATTAAGTTTGGACGAAATCCCAAACTTAAATAAGCTTAGAAAACTCTAAAATCGAATTATGGAAACTTTCCGGATCCCGGTCCGCCGGACCAAGCTTAGTCTGAGGCTCACGGACCGGCTGACCTGAAGGCTTGGTCTGGCGGACCACGCGTGGTCAGCTCCGGACCAGGACCCTTCTTGGTCAGCTCAGTCCGACTCGTCTTTTCTCGGTCCGTCTGACCCACTGTCTGGTCAGCGGCTGACCAACTCTTAGTCAGCCGGACCAGACCTGGACAGATGACCTCGGACCGAGCTTCCGGACCTCCTGGACTGACCAAACTTGGTCCGGGGCTGACCAAACTTGGTCAGCTCCGGACCAACGCACTGAAAACCTCTTTTCTTCATGCTTGTTTCGGTCAAATCTTGTTTCCATTCTTCGTATTCTTCACGTATAAGTCCATCCCTATTGGTGTGTGACTCTGTAGGCCCATTCTAAGTGGTAGTGACTTTAGGAACCTTTCCCGAACCACAAGTCATGGTTAGCCTCTAGCAAGACGCCATGACCACCCATTTAGAATTGAGTTAGAGGTGATCTAACCAAGGCATTAACAGCTCGAATTCTGATCCTTTGTCTCACGATGTCATATGTTGAACAAGGGCATGGTATGAGCCACCCTTCAAGTTTAACTGCTTTCTCGTCTTGGCAAAACGACTAATAGAATAGATGCAAGTTCATCTATAGCGTGGCCACGCGTTTTCATAGTCCGACTTCCACGAGGGGGCCCAGCGATATCTCTCCTGTTAAGGAGGTGACAAGTCCCATATTGCATGTCTACTATCTCCATATGATTCGTGAACGTATCTGATCAACGCCGTTATAATCATCCGGTTAAAGACGACGTTTGACGCAGTCAAGACACGTCACTCCTCATATCAGATACTCTAGACATCTCAGGTATGAGGATCCATAAACGAACCACTGTATGAGATTCAAGTCATGACTCTGTCCATGTGACAATCTCATGCGGGTCATCCAGTCACTAGTTCACAACGAGTACCCATGATTGTGATCTACATCCAATGCGTTGATCACACCTCATGCTAGTCTTTATTCAATAATGTTTCCACAATGATGACTGACTAGGGAGTTTAGAATCATTCTCTAATGATTCAAGGATGTCGAAATACAACAAACATGCTAATCGTATAACAGATAAATAATGCATTCATAACTCAATGAATCAATACAATATCATGGATCATCCTAGTGCATTACAACCAACAATCTCCCACTATGCTCTATGATCTATCCTGCAAGCATTTAATCCCCATACCCTTAACATGACCATCATGCTTTGACGAAGGGAGAGGCTTCGTCAATGGGTCGGCAATATTATCACCTGTCGACACTCTGCTTATCTTCACGTCTCCTCTGTCGATGATTTCTCTGATCAAGTGAAATCGCCTGAGTATGTGTTTGGATCTCTGGTGTGACCGGGGTTCCTTAGCTTGCGCAATCGCACAATTGTTGTCACAATACAACTCAATGGGATCTGCAATGCTAGGAATAAAGCCCAGGTCTCCCACGAATTTCCTGATCCAAACAGCTTCCTTAGCTGCATCCGATGCAGCTACGTACTCGGCTTCTGTAGTCGAATCTGCAACGGTTGGCTGTTTGGAACTCTTCCAACTAATAGCCCCACCGTTTAGGCAGAAAACGTAACCTGACTGCGATCTGAAGTCATCTCTGTCGGTTTGGAAACTAGCATCGGTATAACCACTTATAGCGAGCTCGTCTTCCAATCCGCCATACACCAAGAACAAATCCTTAGTCCTTCTCAAGTACTTAAGGATGTTCTTGACCGCAATCCAGTGAGCCTCACCTGGTGTAGACTGATATCTACTAGTCATACTCAATGCATATGATACACCCGGCCGAGTACATAACATGGCGTACATGATGGATCCAATTGCCGAGGCATATGGAATCCTATTCATGCGCTCTTGCTCATCCTGTGTCTTTGGACACTGAGTTTTGCTAAGAGCCACGTCAT